TTTTTTTTTTTTTTGCATTCTGCTATTATAGATATTTAGATGTGCTCTTCCTGCAGATATTTCAACAGATAAAGATGATTTTTAAAAAAATGCAACCCAGTCAAACAATTTCAACTACAAGTATGTAAACAGTTCTAGTCCCTCTTATTCCTTTGTTCCCCAGAGCCATCACAAGGCCTTTAAGGGCTAAGGCCAGTTCTGAATTGGCGTTAAGGACCTCATGGGAATTCCATTACCCTTCCCACGTGCTGCCGAATCACATTCCAGAAGAGGTTATTTGGCCACTCCCCTCCTCACTTTCCACTGGAGAGGCTGAAAATTTTTCCTTTGCCACATTGCCTTCTGGTACCCAGAGATGTGTGGACTTCCCGCAGAGCTCCCCCTTGCTTCCTCATGCTCTGACCACCCCCGCCCTGACCCCACCCCAGTCAGCTGCTCCCTCTTACTTGGATCTGGAGAGGTAGAAACACTGTCCTCTAGAGAATCCTTGTTTTGGGTCCTAGGATTCATACCTATGGAAAGATGAAAACAGCTTAATGAGGCTCATTCTATAAAATAAAGAAATAAATGAAAGTACTGGCCAGTTATGGTTGAAAAAGCCCAAAATCATAGCTAAAAATAAAAATGTGAACCAAGTACAAATTCTGTGAATATTTCAAACAGCACAAAAGAATCAATCAAAGAAAAATGAGCAATCTAAAACTTGGGAATGATCCAGAACATTACTCTGAGGTTATCAATACCATTCTTTGCCCAATGAGACCATTAGCATTGGCTTACATGCACACGCGCACACACACACACACACACACACACTAGCAAAAAGCAATCCACCATTTATTTTAAGAAAATGGCTATATTTCAAAGTCACTTCAACTAATTGGATAAATCTTTAGCAAAAACAAAATGACCTATTTAAAGTTTATTTCACTTATCTGTCATCATTATCTGGAATTTCCTTCTCCAAATCATAGCTTTCTGGAATATGACCTAAGACATATTAAAACTCACCACTTTAAGAGAAAAACAATGATTTTCCCTATAAGTGTCTGAAAGAAAAAACAGAAAGATCTTTGAAATGCAACTTATTGCCTGAAAAGTAACAGAACTAATTTTAAAGTACATATCAATATTTATTTTTTTATGTTTATTTTTGAGAGAGAGAGAGCGAAAGACAGACAGAGTGTGAGCAGGGGAGGGACAGAGCAAGAGGGGAATAAAGAATCCGAAGCAGGCTCCAGGCTCTGAGCTGTCAGCACAGAGCTTGACACAGGGCTCAAACTCACGAGCCTCGAGATCATGACCTGAGCCAAAGTGGGACGCTTAACCAACCGAGCCACCCACGTGCCCCAAAGTACATATCAATGTTTAAAGGTCCCTTTCTAGACACATATACTTACTAGAAAATTATGGTACTATGAAAAAGATTGGGAAAATCCTCACCAACCTGTCAACAGTGGCTACCTCCAAGGAGAAAGCTGGGGGAGGTGACAGGAGGTAAACCAGAACTTACAGTTTTTATTCTAGATACTTTTGTGTCATCTGAATCTTTTATAACAAGAATAAATACGTATAAGTCCCTCATGGAGTCTTTGAAAGGACAAGCCACAACATGAGAGAAAACATCTGCAAATCACCTATCTAGCAAAGGACTTGTAGCCAGATTACATAAACAGCCCTCAAAACTCAAGAACAAGAGCACAACTTAATGAGAAATAGGGCAAAAGATTTGAACATTTCACTGAACACATACAGAAACCAAATAAGCACATGAAAAGATGCTCAACTTCCTCAACCATTAGGGAAATGGCAAGTTAAAAGTACAGATACCTCTACAGACCTCTTGGAATGGCTAAAATGACAAGTCATGCCAAGTGTGAACAAGATGTGGAACAATGGAAACCCTTATTCATTGATGGTAGGAATGCAGAATGGTGCACGGCTTTGGAAAACAGTTTAAAAAAAATAGTAACTTTTTTTTTTAACGGTTTATTATTTTTGAGAGACAAAGAGCATGAGCAGGGGAGGGGCAGAAAGAGAGGGAGACACAGAATCTGAAGCAGGTTCCAGGCTCTGAGCTGTCAGCACGGCAGCTTCTTTAAAAGTTAAACAGGGGCGCCTGGGTGGCTCAGTCGGCTAAGCGGCCGACTTCGGCTCAGGTCATGATCTCGCCATCAGTGAGTTCAAGCCCCACATCGGGCTCTGTGCTGACAGCTCGGAGCCTGGAGCCTGTTTCAGATTCTGTGTCTCCCTCTCTCTGACTCTCCCCCATTCATGCTCTGTCTCAAAAATAAATAAACGTTAAAAAAAAAAAAGTTAAAAAAAAAGTTAAACAGATAGGGGTGCCTGGTTGGCTCAGTCAGAAGAGCATGTGATTCTTGATCAGGTTAAGGTTGGTTAAGCAGCCAACTTCAGCTCGGGTCATGATCTCATGGTTCCTGAGGTCAAGTCCTGTGTTGGGCTCTGTGCTGACAGCTCAGAGCCTGAAGCCTGCTTTGGATTCTGTGTCTCCTCTCTCTCTGTCCCTCCCATGCTCACACACTCTCTCTCTCAAAATAAATAACCATTAAAAAATTTTTTTTAATAAATACGTAAAAATAAAAGTTAAACAGATATTTTACCGTTTGACCCAGCAATTCCATGCCTACGAACTTACTCAAGAGAAATAAAAAAAAACTGTTATGTAAATGTTTATGGTAGCTTTATTCATAGTTCCCCAAACCTGGAAACTGTCCAAATATTTTGCAAATGAAGGGATAAACAACTAATATATTCATATGATGGAATGCAACTCAACAATAAAAAGTAATGAACATTCAACAACTTGGATGAATCTCAAATGAATTATATGCTGAATAAAAGAAGCCAGACTCAAAAAGCTACATACTGTATGATTCCATGTGCGTGACATGCTGGGACAAGACAAAACTAAAGGGAGAGAGAACAGATCATCGGTTGCCAGGGGACAGGGGTGCGGCTGAGTACAAAGGGGCCACCCAAAAGAATGTGGGGTGAAATGGAAATGTTCTGTATCTTGATGTGTTGGTGGTTATATGACTGCATGCATTTGTCAAAACTCACAGAACTGTACACTAAAAACAGTGAATTTTACTGTATGTAAATTTTAAAATAAATTTTTAAGAATTTAAAAAGAGATATCACATGGCCAAACAATTTTAGAACTTCGTTTTTGGAACTGCCTTCAGTAGATTTTTTTTTTTATTACCATTCATCATAAGATACAACTGGTTTATTAAGTCAAATAAGCATAGTGTTTCATTTTATTCAAACCCCTACTATGAGGCAGATATGAAGAAGGTACTATTCCCCTTCTACAGATGAACTAAAGCTCAGAGAAGGGAAGTAACTTACTGAAGATCACACAGTAAGTAGGTGAAACCAGCATTTAGACTCTGCTCAACTCTACAGACGTCTTATTTCCTGACTCTCCATCTGGGGCACCAGTTTTCAGCTATTGAAAATGTTATCTCTTCTTTGTCAACAGTCAAAAGCCATTTGGAGCTAAATTTTCTGAAAAAGCTATCCTGGCTGACAACATCCATTTTCATGCAAACACAAAGCGAACTATTAAGAAGCAACGAAGTGGATTTTCTTGTTTAGCCTGAGAACTGGTATGAAGGCAATTACAAAATCAGAATTCTCAAAGCATTCTGAGCAATAGGAAATTATTAAATACATTACCTCACAAGTTGAGATGCTAAATTTGGTCATTAGAGAATCTTTTCTTTCTTTTCTTTTTCTTTCTTTCTTTCTTTCTTTCTTTCTTTCTTTCTTTCTTTCTTTCTTTCTTTCTAGAAAACTGAATCCAACCTTGGTCTGTAAGAACTGAAATTCTTAGACTAATAAAAAAACAGTTCAACTTATAATTTTGTGGGCAATTCCTTGAGCTCAAAGAGGCAACCAATAGGATCCTAGACAAGAACTGCACCATCTCTAACAGACAAAAGCACATATAAGGCCGCCAGTCTTTTATGCTACACACACACACACACACTTTACTTTTTAAAAACAATGAAAAATATTTAAAGAAATATTTTAGGCTCTTTCATGAGGCTCTTTATACACAGTTTCCTTGCAGTTCAATCTAACATACTGCCTCTTCCACCAGCTCTGCCTATGAGACTTATTTTCAGTCAAACGTGCTGGCTGTGGGCATATGACAAGTCCCACAACTTGAGATGACCAACATGAGACCTCACGGTCAGTCAGTTCTGCTCTAACCTAATATTTGTGAATGAGACCTCACTCTCAACATTCAAAGCCAGACATTCACCTTGGGGAGCCAATGCTGAAAGTCACCATCTTAGCTTGGCCTTTTGACATCTGTTCAGAGTCAAGAAGTCGGAACGTGTTCTTCGCTTGCTAACCTCAGGCCAAAATGGGTAATCCATGTGGGACCTTTGGGACTGACCCTGGGTGACATCTAGAAGCTTGTGTGTGGGACTAGTCATTTCTCCTCTCTGGACTACAGAGATGGCACTTTCCCACAAAAATCCCAAGCCTGTGCGGCGCTTGGGTGGCTCAGTCGGTTGGGCGTCCAACTTCAGCTCAGGTCATGATCTCACAGTCCGTGAGTTTGAGCCCCGTGTCGGGCTCTGTGCTGACAGCTCAGGGCCTAGAGCCTGCTTCAGATTCTGTGTCTCCCTCTCTCTGATGCTCCCCCGTTCATGCTTTGTCTCTCTCTGTCTCAAAAATAAATAAAT